ATGATGTTGTTACTTGTAGGGATTATTCCCAAGAAAATATTGATACATTTTTAAACTCTTTAAACTCTGAAAATTGGCATGAAGTATATAATGAAAATAATTCAAATACAAAATTTGATATTTTTTACAATATTTTTTTGTCATCATACTATTTGTGTTTTCCTTTAGTTGAAAAGGTATATAAACATAAAACTAAACAGTGGTTTACAAAGGATTTAAAGGAAATGCATTCCTTATTATGTGAAATGGATAAAATATCTAAAACAAATTGTTTTAAACAATTAATAACTTACAATACACTTTGCGTTATAAAAATTTAAAAAAAATGTATAATGATAAAATAAACTTAGCAAAAAAGAAATTTAATGACAAAAAACTAATTAATTCAAATAATATTAGTAAAGAAAGCTGGATAATTATAAATAATGAAACCAAATATAAAAAGAATTTAAAAATATCCGAAATAAAATTCAATAACAGAATAGTAAGTAATTCTAAAGAAATCAGCAATATATTAAATAACACTTTTTTAAATATCCATAATGCTCCAAATCTAACGGTAAACTCAACCACTTCCAACTTTTTTAGATCATTTTATCTAAACCCGGTGACTTCTCAAGAAATTGTAAGAACAATTATTAAAACCAGTAAAAAATTTACACCTGGTATTGATGACGTAAATGGTAAAATTTTAGATATGTCAAAAGAACTTATTGCAGAACCCTTGGCATATTTGGTCAACGAATCATTTATGAATGGTGAGTATCCGTCTGCACTTAAATGTTCAAAATGCGTACCCATTTATAAAAATAAAGGAAGCAAATCTGATCCTCTAAATTACAGACCTGCGAGTCTTCAAAACCAGTTTAGTAAAATAATAGATACATTGTATTACAATCGTTTACAGCACTTTTTAGAATCTAACAAACTACTTTTTGAATTTCAAAATGGCTTTAGGAAAAACAAGTCCACTAACACAGCAATCGAAAGTGCTTTAAATTTTATTTTTAAAAGTTTAAATGAAAAACAGCATGTTGTTGGACTGTTTTATGACCTTAGTCGTGCATTTGATACTACAAATTACAAATTATTATTAAATAAACTTGAAAGTATAGGAGTTAGAGGAGTTACAAATAAATGGATAGAATCATATCTATTGGATAGAACCCAAGTGGTATCTATTAATGGTGAAAAATCAGATATATCCAAAGTAGCGCTGGGAGTACCTCAAGGATCGATATTGGGGCCACTTTTATTTTTGATATTTGTAAATGATTTAAATTTAAATACAAATATAAATGAGAAAATTATTCTTTATGCAGATGATACCAACCTTATTATTTAAAATAATAATATTTCAAACTTATGCTCCGAAGCCTCTTTAAAATCTAACTTGTTCAATAAATGGTGTGAGGAAAATGGACTAACTATTAATAAAAACAAAACATTTTATATGAGATTTATACCAAAAAATGTTTCTCCAGATTACGATTTATTTATTCCAATTTTGGGTAAGTCAATTGAATCTGTGGAAAGCATAAAGTTCTTGGGTATTTACTTGGATCGAAAACTAACATGGGAAACACAAATAAATAATTTAAATAAAAAAGTTCTGCTTGTTATGTAATAAGGTCATTAAGAGGGTCGGTATCCTTTTCAGTACTCAGGCTTTTGTACTTTGGAGTAGTACAGGCCCATCTTGTCTATGGAATTAAATTTTGGGGTAGCTCAAGTTATTTCAATAAAGTTTTTATAACGCAAAAGAAGATCCTTAGGTGCATGTACAAGAAAAGTCCAACATATTCGTGTAAACCTCTGTTTAGGAAATACAAAATTTTAACTCTTCCCTGTTTGTACATATTAAGTTTAGTTTTATTCATTTTTGAAAATAAAAAAGATATTTTAACACATGGTAACATACATAGTTACTCAACAAGAAGCCAAAATCAGTTAGTTTTGCCATTTTCTAGGCTCTCTGTATGTCAAACGTCTTTTATTTATATGGGAATTAAATGTTATAATAAAGTTATGTCTATTGTGTCTTGTTGTAAATGTTCAAAAATGTTAAAATGCAGATTGCAGACTTTGTTTTTAGAAAAAGTATATTATTCTGTGAAAGAGTTTCTTAGTGATAATTTTTAATTAACTTATTTAATGTTTAATAAATTTAGTAGTAGGTACATAGTTTTAAACATAATTTCTTTATTTTGTAATTTTTTTTTTGTTTGACTAGTCCAATATGTTTTATGGAATTAAATGCTGTAAAACTCTGTGATCAATAAATATTATTATTATTTAAAATTAATTTTATATATGATTTTTTAATTTCATAATAAAAAATTTAATTTAATTGATAATAAAATAAATGCATTTCTCGGTATATTATTTTAAAAACCATTAGGCCTTAAGTCATTTAATTGATAATAAAATAAATGCATTTCTCGGTATATTATTTTAAAAACCATTAGGCCTTAAGTCATAGCTCATAACAAATATTTATATATTGCTGGTACTTCAATATTATTTTTTTATTTGAAAGTGTGTTTTTTGTTGTTGTTTTGGTTGCTTAAATAAAGTAAAGTCATAGATGTCTCAGAGTACAGCAGAACGTTTAAATATACAACCAGATACAAGTGTAGAATTTAGAATTTCCGAATATCGGGAAATTACCGTAAAATTCTCACATATGACGCCCATGGTTACAATAATAGTGCAGTATAGACCAGGCCTAGAAGCCGAGCACACAAGAAATTAATAAGTTTTCGCGGGTTTATATACCATTTTTTCCAAGCATTTAATTTTATTATTTCTCTAAGATTCTGTCAGCGACTGTCACAGTGTGATAATCACACCATTTTTAGGTTTTAGGCATAGATGACATTTTAGCTTTATTTTTATTTAGTACATATGTTTATAATAATTTGACTTTTAAACTACACCTTTTCCAACTATTTCAGAAAGCGTTACATGTATTTCAGAATAGTCAAATGTATTTCAGAAAGCGTTAAATGTACTTCAGAATAGTCAAATGTATTTCGAAATCCGTTAAATGTATTTTAGAATAGTCAATTAATGTATTTCAGAAAGGGACAAATTTATTTTAGAAAGCGTCAAATGTATTTCAGAACGCGTTAAATGTTTTTTTTTTAATCGTGGACATTTAAAAAATATATATTTTACTAAAAAATTTATAGAAACATGCTGTTTTGTTCAAACTTTTTGAAATATTCTTCAAATATGCTCAAGTTTTTAAATGTTTTTCAATTTGGACACCCTATATTTTTATATTATATTATATTTTGTATATGTAGTATTTAAAAAAAAATAACTAATTTTGTTTTTTTAAAGAACATCGAATACAGTATCATAAACATAGACCCTTTTAAACTATAAGCTCTTGATATTAATTTTTACAAGCTCTTTGCGATTTTTTATTTTCCATTAAAAAACTTAAAATTCTACAATTGGGAGTTTGCACATTTTCAAAAATGTGTTAAAACAAAATTTTGACATCATTTTAATATTGGTGAATAAACCTATGACACTTCGGAAACAGCCGAATAGGTATTCACTATAAAGTATATTTAACCAAACTTCCACTTCAATGTTTATAATGTTAAATTTAACACTTTGCTTAAAACTGTCATAGTGTACATTAACCTAATTAGAGTGGGGATGTGTTTCTTTTTTCATTACCTTTAAAATAAGGTGAAACTCGATAGGGGTTGCTATTTAAAATTAGTGGGGTTGTCAACCCCTAAAAAAATTCCACGTTGCATGGAATTTCTAAACTATCTAAGAATGTAGTTTTTATGATCCTATAGTGATCCCCAAATTTTCAATTTTTTTTCTTCACTCCTTCAAAAGTTATAGCTCCGCCCGGGGACTTTTGGGAAGGCCTTTATATTATATACTATATTATGAGAGATTGAAAAAAGTTCTTTTAGTCATCATTTATATTTTACTTAATTATTTACTTAAAAAAAGGATCTTGGGAATTTAAAAACATGTGACATGAACATTAGGGTGCTTCAAAAAATAAAATTTATTTTTTTTTTCGCTCTTACCCTCTCAAATGTTTCTATTTAATATAAAAAAATCCTCACCAAATATGGGCGTTCCAGCTGAACTCTAAGAGGTCGATGTTTGTATTTTAGTTTCCCATTTAATTAACATGGGAAAAAATAATTTTATGTTTGGAATTTTATACATCTGTATCAAAGTAACTTATGGCAATAATCATTGCAGTTTCTTATATAAAATGTAACGCTCTACAAAAAATGTCTCTTATTATTTTTCGATAAATTGATTTCTTCTAGAGTTATTTGAGGTCAAACATCAAATAATCTGTTTTTTATAATTTTATGGTACAATTAGCAGATGGGAGGTGAAAGGGGGCAAAACAAGGCAGTGGGGGGGGGCAAAATGGGGTGCCCAAAAAATATCGTAAAAATTTTTTTAGATTGTTTTTTTCGGTTTCTAAATTATTTGAAAATTGACTCACAAGTTCACGCTTTTAATCGAAAATAATTATTCTGAGCCTGTAGAGCGAGAAAAAGGATAGTACAATTTTGTAAAACTTTTAATATGCTCATTTTTTGGGTACACCATTTTGACCCCCCTCGCTGCCTTGTTTTGTCCTTTTTTGTAGAGCGTTACATTTTATATAAGATACTGCAATTATCATTGCCATAAGTTACTTTGATACAGAGGTATAAAATTCCAAACATAAAATTAAACATTGGAGAGGGTAAGAGCAAAAAAAAATTAATTTAATTTTTTGAAGCACCCTAATGAACATAAAATGGAAGTAAAGTTAAAATACAATTATAAAATTTTAAAAATTGATGGAGGTCCGCCTAATTCTCCTCTACGGCCCTGTCCATACCATAGATGTTTACACATAAAAAATAGCACATTGCTTTTGGAATACTAAATAGAGTAACTGATTACTAAATCAAACAAAACTCACCTTCTCTTCAACGTTTCTTGCCCAACTCTCAGACCGCACTGACGTGCACCGTGTGATTTTGCTCGGCGGCGTTCTGCGCATCGCCCGCCTGCTCCGACTGCTGCAGCAGGTCCATCGCCTGACCGTCGCCCTGCTGCGCCGGGCTGTTCTTCGCCTGCTTGTGCTTCTTGGTAAGCGCAGGAAACTTGGAGAGGTGCTTGAGCGCGCTCACGCTGCCCCGCTGCGCCTTCTTCTCGCCGCCTCCGCCGCCAGTGTTTTCCTCCTGCTCTTCGGTGATAGAGTCCAGCGGCACGTCCGGCTGCTGGTCATCCTGGATCGGTATGTCATCTGCGCACACATCAGCACAATCAACTTTTGCCACGCGCTATTGTAAATAAATTGATCAATAACTAATTTGGCATCACATAAAATTGCCCTTTGCGTATTTTTTTATTTTTGGTACCTACCTAATAAAGGGTGCATTGCCCAACTATGGAGAAAGGCAGTAACTGCTAAACAAGAAATCCGTGGAAAATTGGCATAAACTAAATTTTTATAAAAAGCGTAGATATTTAATTGATATGAGATAGTTTACTGCATTTCTTAGTTGAATTAAGATACAAAATGTCCATAGCTTTATCATAGCACAAGAAAACACATTAAGAATTTTTTTGTAGTTACTGCCTTTCTCCATAGTAGGGCAGTGCAGGTCATCAATGCGATATAATGACGTCAGCATTACCAACTTTAAATTGTAAAGTTACTGCCGTTAAATTTTCTTTTTTTTAAGGCGTAATTCTGATGAGTTATAAAAAATATCATTTATTTTCCTATTGTTTACCAAGAACTGTAACAATTTCTGTTTTAAAACGTTTTTTAAATGTGTGGGCAGTTGCTAATAGCTTAAGGCTGGCGCGCACCCTTCAATATTATTGATGGGCCACCGTCATTTTATACTTGACATTTTTTGGTAATTTTGACATTTCGTCCGTAAGCTGCAGATTATTATAAACAATTTTATACATTGTCTTTATCATATTCTACCACGTGATTGTGCAAACAATGTTACAAGGCTTGTTGGCAACGCCAACAGTTATTAAATTGCGAAGACATTGCGCCCTTAATAATAAATTTAAGGAAACAATCAGACTCGAGTCCAAGTCTGACCTGGTTCGCTCTGACGACAATGACGACTGGTAATTTATTATTTTTGTGTTTCTGGTATTTATGTAAATATGTAATAAAAATGTAATAAACTCCGATTGTTTCCTCTAAAAACTTTTAATCAAAATTTGCCCGTAACAAACTACTAATTAGTGAGGGTTGAAGATCATAACTATGATCTTATAATTCCATCTTAATAAATAGCCCGCTATAAACAGTCAACAATACACGAGCATTAGATTATGCCTGGGTACGTATGAATAGACCTTAACGCTGACGTCATATGCCGTTGATGAGGTGCACCAATGCAGATGTGGCCGAAAAAAAAATATCGATAGTTTCGATAATCATGGTCGTAATTATCAAAACTATCGATAAATTATCGATAGTTTAAAAAAACGAAATATTTATTTTATTTTATTTAAAAAAGCCGCATAATTTATGCTGCATAAACCTTACAAATCAAATATTAAAGTATTTTATTATTGTCTAGTTTATGATTTATCACCATGATACAAACAACAATTTATCACGGTTTTTGTACTATAGGATCTATAATACCGGCTGTCAACAGTGTTGCCAGCTCAAATTTGTTTATTCACTGCCAGTAGAAATAGTAGGCTGATAAATTTGCTTGGTTAAAATTGTAAATAATATTTAGACTTTTATGTTATTAATATTGCAGGCGTTTCTACTGATTTTTACAAAATTTTAGACTGTCAATTGATTAAAATTAATAGATCTACTGAAAAATTAGTAGACCTGGCAACATTTGCTGTCAGTAATCAGTATCGATATTATCGAAGTCGATATCGATAGTTTCGATAGTATTTAAAAAAGCAAATAATCGATAGTATCGATAAAATATCGATATTATCGTCACCTCTAGTGGCCGCGACTATACTAATTTGTGATCTATCATTAATAGTTTAGTTTCTTATACAAAAACACATAAACAAAAAATTTCAATATTAGCGATAAAAGCTGAATAGAAAATTTAAGGGATCAGCAGGAAACAATAATTCAAAATACATGTTCTTGTGTAATGTAAATGGAAAATTTTAAGTGATTTTAATTTTAGTGTTGCAAAAATACATCAGCTAATAATTTGGAATTTAAAGATTTACACGTTAAAATTAAATATTAAAAATCTTTAACACAAAATTTACAGAAAAGGCCAAAAAGTTTCCCTAATATTGCGAAAGTAACTTTTTTATTATGCTTCTTGCTTTGCAATCTATTTTTGCGCTAATTAAGAAAAATTTTAACATGACTTAAATAAATAGATACAAACAACAAATTAAAAACACAGCAGGTTGCTATACGGCCATTCCAAGCCCATGGACAGGACACATCAGAAACATGTCTAAATATATTCTTGTTACTTCCTTAAGTTTACTTATTTTTTCTACGAGTATTTATGAGAAGTATTACCCAAATTTGGCTAATACTTCTCATAAATACTGGTAGAAAAAATAAGTAAACTTAAGGAAGTAATAAGAATATATTTAGACATGTTTCTGATGTGTCCTGTCCATGGGCTTGGAATGGCCGTATATCCATATAAAATGAAATAATAAAAGCTTTGATGTAAAAATAAATATAAAATAATAACTAAAAATGTATGCAGAATTTTGGCCAAATGAACTAAACAAATATTTAAAAAATTGTGCTACAAAACACATATTGGCCGAACTGACTAAAAGCAAATTAAATAAAAACTGTGTCTTTTAAACACATTTCAACTCTAGACTGTTGGTTTAATGTAAAGCAATAATAAAAGGAATGTAAAAATAATAAAATTATTTGTTTATCTTAAATAATGGAAAACAAATCAAAAACGGTTTGATCAAAATCCTGCATTATACCAACTTTACCATTTTATAAGGGCAATTCTGACGAAATTTATTGTACTTAATGAGATTTTAAAGGTGTTTTAATGTACATTTTTATGTATAAAAAAGCTTTAGAAGGCTAAAAGTAGATTTTTGTAGTTTCCTTACCCGGCAACTTTTTCGTTCTAAACGATGCATTCGTTATCATAGATTTGCTAACTGTATGGGTTTGTGGTTTTGCTGTCACCGGTACTGTGGTGGAATGTAGAAGAAGGTTTTGTATTGCATTAGCGGCCAATAAAACATCTAAAAATACGGTTGCATTAGTGGTTATACTCATGACATACATTTTTTATTTTTTTATATTTTATGATTATGATTATGACATAGTATGAAAGGAATTTCTGGAATTTTAGAAATGCTTTGTTTATATAAGGAAATACAAGGCAAAAAAGCCAACTTGTAGCTGTTTACGCTTATAAATGGGATAACTAAATCAATAATAAATAGAAGTAATTAAATAAAAATAATTTTATAAATAGGTGAAAAGATTGGGAATTTTACAAATGAACAAAACCTTATAGCCTGTTTGCACCAACAAGCTGCAACATGGGGGACACGGAATTTCAAACGACTATTATCCCATTGACATCAAAATCTAAACTTCCGGTTATCACTAATTTTTTTTACAGATTAATACAAGGACAACAAAATTATGATGTTCTTATTTTTGACATAACTTAATTCATTTTAAATTTAATCGTTTGTTTCAGTAGCAGAATGACCACAACCTATTAAATAAACTTTATTTATTTTTTAGAATTCTTGTTAACATGGCTGCTGTTCTGAATGTTAAAATAAAAGCTAGTGGCGGTTTGTCAGGGAATGCAATTTTTTTAACCATTTTACTTATTTTAATAATTGTATTTAATATAAATATATTTGTATTATATTTCAACTAAATTCAAACAATTTACGGTTCAAATCAGTCTGTCAGTGTGTCGTTTTGTTAATTTGCATTTTGTGGTGTTTTGTTTTGGTTAACATGGAAAAATTGGAAGAAATTGTAGAATAGTTAATTTTTTATGTTATTACTTGTATTAAATACAAATTTTGTAAGTTATATTAATTGTCTGTTCTTGGCACCACAAACATTTGACTAGTTTTTTTAATGGTAAACGCGTCATAAAAAAATCTATCACTTGCCTCCTTACTTTTACTGACCACAAGCTACCACTGCAAAAAGGTGACTTGAGTGTCCTTAAATTTCCTGTATTAGAAGTTTTACATATTATATTTAAAAAGTTTAAAAGAGGAATTAATGATTAGTTTAAACTTTTCCATATTTTTCCCTAACGCCTAAAAATATTTTTTCGAAATCTTTTTTGTAATAATCTGACTGAAAATAGAACAAATAAGCAATTTCATTTGATTTACTTTGCCACAATCCATTCTCCCCACGGACTTGACAAATCATGACGGTCCTTTAAACACCCCCCTCTCCCCTCCAGCGTTATGTTGTATTCACATAGTTAAGTATGTGGTTGTATTAGACCCAGTGTACCGCATAATGGCATGCGCCAATCAAATATACTAATTTAAACCTATTACCACTTGTGTTCTGTGTATTATGATTTCAAAAATATTCTTGGAATAAAAAGTTTTGTTAGAATAAAATTATGTAACTATTAATATATTAAATTAAAAGACTAATTAAAAAATTGCAAACTGGCAAAATTCCCTTGTGCATTACACCATGTGACAACATAAACCCACTCTTTAATAATAATAAATTAACTTTATCAGGTACAAATACAAAAGTATCTTCAAAATTGTTTAAAACTGGTAATGTTTAAACTTCAAGGTTTTTTATTACACTCATTAATAGGTTTACACTTGTTGATGATATTTTTTCTGCATTTATAGGCTTTTAATTAAATCATTAAACACATTATCCTTTGACCCCAAAGAGCATTTATTTACCTAAATGCGTAAAAGTACCAAGTCCATTTTTTTCATTTTTGTATTTTTTGCAATACTTACCAAATGACAAAAACTGAAAAAAATGGACTTAGCAGTTTTACACATTTAGGTGATAATATTATATATTAACTAAAAACCCTTGAGGGAGAATTCCTTTAAAATAAATAAATAATCAATAGGTAAATATCTTCATATTTACCTGCATATGATTCGTATTTAGCTCTTTGTGTGAGATCATGTAGAGCCTGTACAGCCCCTGGAGCGCCTCTCTCCGCTGAATGATACACTGTGTGCAATAACTCTATGAGTAGACTACTTGACACTGGAATTCGAGGTTGAATACTTTGTTGTATGCTACTGTCACTAGCTATTGAACTTCTTGGACTATCCGAGTATCTAAATCCTTGGTTAACTAATCTAAAAAATCAAAAAATAACAATCCAGTTGCCTAATTTTGGTTTAATTTACCTAGATATATTTTTGCAAGTATGCTCAATACCCTGGGTAATAATGTTTGCCAATTGTTGGTTATACAAGAACACAAGAGCGGTGATGACTCTTTGTCGATTTTGTGCATTGAGACACTCCACTTGAGGCAAAGGGCCCCAACTAACCAATTTACTGTTGCACTCCTCCCATCTTCTCAGTGAACTTTCTGCTATAAATGCTGGTTCTAAATGGTTGCAGTCGTGGAAAATCGACGATTGTGCTATGCTGGGTATTCTAAAACTTATACTTCGAGGCTGACCTTTGGAATCTATCACCTAGGATCATATTTACATGTAAATAATATAACAAAGTTGTAAAATGTACTTACCTCCAAATTATATAAACTAACTAGTAAAGTTTGTACAGATGAGTAAGATTTTTCAGTTAAATGAAGTAGTATAAGGGTCGGTATGTATTGCATAGTAAACTTTTTCAATTGGTGTTCACCAGATCTGTAAAAGTCCAGCAATTGACTACATATGCCATCAATTACCTGAAAATAACATATTAAAACCACTCATAATATAATAAACGTGTTCTAACTAACATTGTCACTCTTGTACTTTTGGGGTTCGGACAGGACATCATACAAGGCTACCATAACTTCATGATTATGCTCTTGTTCTGCCGAATAAGTGTGAATTTCACTTTCAGTCAGCGAATCGAATTCTTCCATCCAATCTCTTACTAGTACATCTGCCATTATTGTCTCCTATTTTAATAAAATACAGTCTCTGAGGGGCTTGTGTTTGAGGTTATGATAATTATTTACATAAATGTAGGACAAATTACGCAACGAATAAATATGCTATTAATATTTACATGTAATGGTGTGATAAAGCCTCGAAATCATTACTTTATAGCGTAATGAAAATTAATAGCATGAAGTGTCAAAACAAATATTCAAACGTCAAATTAAAATATTGCCAACTGTTTAAACCTTAAATTGAGTGCAAAATCACCAAATTAGCGCCGTGCGAGCAAGAAATTAAAATTTAAATGTTATCTTACCATTGTTTTGTAGTAAATATTGTTAATTTTCCAAGATTTATATTTTTGTCTGTCCATTTTGTTTTCATTATATGTTTTATTTAAAGTGGTAATTATAGGTTTCACATCTCTATTAAGGTTACTTGATTTATAATTTAAATTCAACGGTTGAACTTCAACCAAAATCTACATGTTATTGATCAATGAGCAAAAAAAATAAAAACACCTTATGAATGGAAAATATATTTAATATACATACATTTATAAACTTAAAATAATTACTATAATATGAAATTCGATCCAGAAAAATTTAATGGGGGTTTTAAAAAGGCTTAAAATTGTTTTTACTTAGGTATTTAAAAATTATTAAGTATTATTAAGCATTTTTTATAACCCACATTATTACCTATTTATCCATTATTTTTACTAAATGTAGGTGTACCTATAATAAAAATAATAAATAAAATACAAAATTAGGATTCATAATAATGAACGTCTCCAATTTTATGTGAAGAAAACTATTTTTATAATATAAAAACACAAAGATTAATTAAATATATAGGTACTATGTTCCACATCAAAGTCCCACTTTGACATTTGAATAAGGAATGTAATCAAATAATAAGGTTATATATCTGTCAGTTTGACATTTTCTGAATATGTTTTGTGTATAAAGGTTGTAATTTATAACATAAAAACATATACTGTATTATTTTCAGAAAATAAGACGAAATTAGCGTTAACTGATAGATACATAACTTCAATTATTCCTTATTCCTTTTGACGTTGAGCATAGTACCTACCTATACAAAAAGCATGTATTAAAATTTAAAATTTATATAAACTAAATTTTGTGCCCACATCTCAAGGTCCTCTCCAGGAATTCTTCAAATAAATTAAATTTTAAAAATCGTCTCCTGCGCAAAAAAAATAAAATAAAATTATAAAAAATCAAAACCAAACCAAATCCCAACCGTTTAATACATGCTTTAAAAAATGCTACTATAGTACTTTAGTACGTGAAATTTAAAATTTGACTTACAGCCAAAACCTACTACGTAGGCTGCAAAATGTAAAGCTACTCAGTACTTAACACCCACGATATTTATTTATTATTTTAACCGTATAAATTACCGGGGAAATCCTGGTCGGACAAGTCGTCCTGCTCGTTGTCCGACTCCACTTCCTTCCGTTTCCGACCGTAGGCGCGCTTACTGGTGGTCGGTAACGCATCTGTTTCGCCGTGTAACAGGGAGTTGCGGTACAGTAACAGCGGCTGCCAGTCTTCGCCTCTGCTGCTAGGCATACCTATCAGAAAAAAATATGAAGGTAGAAAATTTAGTCAGTTTGTTTTATTTTGATATTTTTTCTTAGTCAAAATTCCATGAAAGGTTTTTTAAAGCAAAAATACATTTCCGCTACTTGGTATTTATTCGTACTTTTTGTAACAAATTAAATTTCAAAATACCATTTCCCAAAAAAATACAATTTTTAACTGACTCATAAATTTTGTAAGCAGAATTTTTAAAATAATTTTTTTTTAATTTGTAAAACCATTCTATATTATATATACATAAAAATTATAAAAATGTATACAGGGTGTTTCAAAAAACATGCGCCAATGAAGAAAGTTTCGGTTTGCAAAGTTGTACATTTTAAAGATTTTATAATGTCAAACAATACTAAGATTTATTATGGAAGACGATACTCATTTCAAGTTGTGCTGTATAGAAAATATGCCGCACTACGACCCTTTAATTTTCAAAGTGGATTTTTTGTAGACTGCAGAAACCACAAATGCACCAAACAGCATGTGGGAATTTACAAAATAGTAGTTCCGCAAAAAATGCAAAATTTTTAAACTTGGAGAATTATGAGTGTTACACAGGGCATTGCTTTAGGAGATCGTCAGCCAGTATACATAAATGTGAGCGGAAAACGGTGGCAATTTGGGGGCTGGAAATCTTCAGCAGTTGCTTAACAGTATGTTGAACAATCAAATACCAAGAAACTTAAAATTTCGATGCACCCCTTGTTTTAATAAGTAAAAATAAGAGTTTTGAAAGTCTTAGTAAGTCTGAATAATAGCAAGATTTGGGAGTCTTCTGGAAGAGTTAATAAGACTTAATAAGACTTTTGTAGATAAATGGTAGGTACCTAAGCTATAGCGATAAAAATAAATATCCGGAATAATTCAGAGAGGTTGTATTTGGTTATTGTAAAATAAAACCCAAAGAAAAGTGTTTATTAACATTTTTGCTGTGTTGTTATAAGCAAAGTTTATTGCACAATTACCTATATAATAACATGTAAGGTGTAATAATTATAACAATTATAATTTTTTACATACAATGCGCTTGACTTACTTTCATTGTTGCCAGTGTACGTTTTATTTTAATAGTTTCTTTTTATATACGCAAATATTCATCTAACCATTGTTCCAAAGAATTTTTCTAAAAACAATAACACGTGTTCTAGACGCAATACCGATTTTCTCAGCTGACCAATTAGAGCACAGCTGACCCGTCATGGGATTCCTAGGATGGGATTGAATCTTTCTTCTGTCAGTTCGACCCAGTGTTGCCGTTTGCAAGTATTTTACTCGAAAATCAGGTATTTTCGTAATGTTTGCAGGTAGAATTTTGCGGGTAAAATCGGGTAATTTGCAAATTTCGATGAAAATAATAACTAAAGAAATTTTCAGTAAATAATATTGTATATTTACTAAATATGCACAATTATTTTATTCTATCCTGTTACATTTTTATTGACAATTTTAAATTAATTTAATTTATTTTTCAAAACAGGGTGAATGCGCTGGTAAATTTAAAATATAACCAGTTTTTTTCCGGCAACACAGTACATACCATCAAACACAAATTGTTTTTACACAATGAAAGCAGCTCAAAGATCAACCATATTTGTTTTATGAGTTCAACTGTCGAAAATATCATGCCTATGCATTGCGAAGAATTCTTATAGTTATTATACCTTATGTAATCAACAAGGGATATGTATGTACACAAACCAAATGTATGTCTCAGTTAACTGTTTTATTGTAATAAATTGAAGTAAACATTGCTTACCTATATTGTAAACAATGCTTTCGTGTTTTTTTAAGCCTTATAACAACACAAAAACAGTGTTTATAAATGAGGACCCCAGAAGCCAAGGGATGCAGGTGACATTAAATAAAAATGTAGATATGTACAAAAAAGATAGTAAATGGTACATTTTACTTGGTATCCAAGGTATTTAACTGATAGAATTCAGCTTAGACACCTTGAAAAATAAAGTCATAAAACAACAAACAATTTTGACTCCAAATTACAAGTTTTTTTTACTTTAAACATGATTATCTCAAAACTAAACAAAATGTACTTATACCCCTTGGCTTCTAGGGTCCTCAAATACTTTTTTTATGTTTTCTTTGGCAATAACCAAATAAATTCCGGATATTTATTTTAATCGCTATAGGTAGGTATACCTACCATTTCTCTGCAAAAAGGCCCAATTAACTCTTCCAAAAAACTCCCAAATCTTGATTAGTCTGACTTACTAAGACTTATTTAAACTTTTTTCGACTAAATAAGTCTTATTTTGAGTTTTTAAGAGAAAGTAAGACTTTCAAAACTTTTTCAGAGAAAAATTTTCACAAGGGAGCTGTTCAAATTAACTGACAATGATTCTTTAACATCATCCTCAAGGGATAGCGTAGAAACTTTCTATTTTTCTTTCTACTAGAAAGAAAAATAGCAGAAACGTTGATCAAAAACATCACAACAAATATATTGTCCTGTTTAATATAAACAACTGCGTAATTAACTTCAACACTTGCTCTCATTGTACCTAAATAATTTTGTATTGTGTGTTCAGTTGTAAAATAAAATTGTAAAAATGTGTCTTTATCAATTTAACAATGTCAACGTACAAACCTACGCCCTAAACCTAACATCCTAGGTCAATATATTTAATAAAACAGGGTCTGATGTAGGTGATTTTGTTGAAGGAGACCCTAAAAATATAGGTGGCTTATTTTCAAATTTCTTCTACATTTGCTGTCCCTCAACCTTAATATTTAAAAAAAAATTGAGTTTAACGCCATTTGGAACTTTACTAGGCAAAATCAATTGGTTTAAGTGTTTTACTAATATTTTAAATTTTACTTTACAAAAAAAATTAAACTTTTCCCAACAGTACAGAAAAGTAGCTGTCCCACTTGAAATAATATTCACTACTTAATGCTATTTAAACATCTTGGAGTAAAATTGCATCCTCGTTTTTTTTTATATAGTTGAGAATATATTCCAAATATTACAGAAAAAGCCCATTTGTGGTAATATTAAAAAATACAAGTGGTTAAAAGAACCCCTAAAGTTTGTCCCTTAATTTGCTTTTACAGGGTTCCCACCAAGAAAATGAAACAAAATTCCCTGACTTTTCCAGGTTTTCCAGACCAATTTTGATCAATTTCCAGAAATAATTATAGGTACTATGCTCCACACCTCAAAGTCCCACCACGTGACCAAGTACGGAACGCAGTCTTTTGAAAATTTGGCATTTAAGGCTTTTCAGGTTATGTATCTGTCAAAGTATAGTCAATGAAAGAAATCATATTTATAGTGATACCGCTTATGTTTAAGCGTTAAAAGTTAACACTTTAACTGCCACGCTGATTTGGAAAAAAAATGTACCGGGTCACGTGGGCCAAGCCTCAAGTGTAGCCTCAAGCACTTTATTTGTGTTTGTTTTAAATAAAAGTCGTAAAAGAAATTTTTTTTTTTATTATAGTATAGTGCCACGCCAGACCCATCGATATTCCCATTTAAATACACAGCAGATGTGTACCAGCCACGCACACATGGCCGAGAATCTTTCTAATACATGTGTCCAATATAGGTACACATGGCAGAGAATTAAAATCTCCTGTGTCCATTTATGGTACATACGGCAGTTAAAGTTAAATCTTTATAGTATCACAATAACATGGTTGGTTTAAGAATTTACGAATATAAATACTGCATTTAATGAAATTCCAAAGTGTAAGGTGCAATATAAGTGATATTTTTGTGCATTGGGTCTACATTTCTCCATAAAATAGTTTTAACTAACAGAATTTATTAAAAAAAAATCTAGGTAGGTTAATGTATTAGAACAAAAAATTTCATCTAATTTTGTATTTTAAGGTTAGAAAAATCTATTTTGACCAAAATAAATAAGTGGATTATTTGGAAGAGTGTGTTAATTTGGTCATAAATAAATATAGGTATACTAAATAATTGTTGAATATGGTTCAAATTAAAATGAAGCTCTTATACTTCTAATGACAAAACTTGTGCATACCTCTCGGCATACCTACTTTAAGTTATGTAGATTATAACAAAACAAACAATTATTAGAGAAACTTGCAATGTGAAAATATTTAATACTCCCATGACATGTGATTTATTAAAATTTTTAAAGTTATAATGATTTTTTGATGTAGATCAAATTCAGTCGAAGCTTTTTAACTATTTGTATTAACAAAACTTGATGTAGGTACACTTTAAGCTGGATAAGAAAAACTACCACATTTTTAAATATTATTTTTTTATATTATACAGTCTTTTAAATAATCCAAAATACTTATTTATTTTGGTCAAAATAAATTTTTCTAACCTTAAAATTACAAAATTAGATGATATTTTTGTTATAAAATATTAACCTACCTTTAATACAGATATTCTTATTCCATAATAGAGAAGCTAGATTTTTTTAAATAAATGCTGTTTAGTTAAAATTATTTCATGGAGAAAACCAGATATTTGGACCAAATGCACAAAAATATTACTTATATGGCACCATACACTTTGGAATTTCATTAAATGCAGTATTTATATTCTTAAATTCTTAAACCATCCATTGTTATTCTAATGTTATAAAGATTTATACATTTTTAACGCCTAAACATAATAGTATTTCTTTCGTTGACTATACTTTGACAGATACATAACCTGAAAAGCCTTAAATGCCAAATTTTCAAAAGACTGCGTTCCGTACGTGTTCACGTGGTGGGAATTTGAGGTGTGGAGCATAGTACATGTAAAGTAAAAATATATTTTATTTTTTTTTTAACAATTTTTTTTAACATTTCTTAATATATAATAAAAAAATTAAACAGAACATTCATAAAAAATTTGAAAGGAAACAAACTTAGTTTATAAGGTCATACATTTTATAAGTATTTGCGCAAATTATTTATTTTAGTTTCAATGCCCGGCTATATTATTTGTGAAAAATAATCTTCGGCCGGTAATAAAAATAGAAACAATTTTCGGAAAAATCAAGAAAAATTGGTTAAATTCCCTGACTTTTCGTAAAAATTAGTTAAATTCCCTGACTTTTCGTAAAATTCAGCAAATTCCCTGACTTTTCCCTGACTTTTTTACTAATATTTAATTTCCCTGACATTTCCAGGTTTTCCCTGTTTTCCAGGTGAGTGGGTACCCTGTTTTATAAATGACCTTTTGAATTGAGCGCAAATTTTTTGGTGCTGCCCCCTTGCAGTAATGTATTTGGTAACGGATTTTAGTAGGAAATGGTGTTTTAAACTTAATCTTGAATCCACAACACGTTGTTTAGTTTTTTTATACCAGCGTGGCAAAACTGTGCATTCACCTGTGTCATAGTAATAAAAAGTAGTAAAGGTACCAGTTGGAATTTGTTTGATTCTCAAAAGTAAGAATCATAGTAATGGTTTTAAGGGCAAAAATACAATTTTTTATCTTTAAAACAGTAACGAGGTTATGTTCTAAAAACATATATTTTTCCCCTGGGTCATACGTCTCCTGGATCACATATTGTGTGACCCAGGGGAAAGTTATGTGACCCAGGGGACAATTCCAAAGAAATAAATTATAATATATTTTTGAAATAATAATAAACGTATAGGAAAATTTTAAAAACTTTTTTTTTCGACCTTTCACCTTTTCTTTTTTTAACTACGTAACCAATTTAATATCTATTTGTGTATTAAGAGCGCAAAGTGATACATTGCCACTTGAGCGAGAAGTTTGCTATCTCGCGAGAGCGGCAATGTCACTTTGCGCTCGAATTACACACAGGATTTTTTCTACATCCGGTGTTTCTATAAGAATGTTTGGTAAAAATTAATAATTATTGATAACATTAAATTTGACGTTTGTGTCAAAAGTCGCAAATACACTAAGCGAGCAAAGTAACTTTTTCGCTCGGAAAAGTGCAACTTTGCGCTTTCTTTTTGAAGCGCAAATTTGTACTTTGCGCTTGGTTGTAGAAAAAATAATGTCCTTCGCCTTTTTAATAGTAATTTTCCTAGTCAATGTATTTTGCCTAAAAAAAGCTGGACATTTTTTTGTACACTATTAATATTACTAATAACTAAAACTTTTCATTAATTTATTGCTCGTTAAATTGGACAAGCTAAAGATAAAAAATCGAGAAAAAACGTTTTTAATACTTACGCATTAAAAGAAAATTTCTTAAACTCACTTTTTTAATGGACATTTTTTAAATACAGAAAATATATTAAAAATACTTATATATGTAAGAAAGTTGAGAAATAGAACATAGTTTTGTACTATTTTTTTTTATAAATAATAAATGTATGTTCTTTTTTTAAACAAATCCTAGTGTAAATAACTTTAAAAGGATTATTGACAAGCAAAAAATATGTTTTCAAAATGTTAAAGAATTTTTATATAAGTTATTTTAATATGTTAGTAAATTTATGACCCAGGGAACCATTTTTTTCTTAGGGCTTATTTAAAAAAATCCAACGGCCCACTTTTAGATGTTAAATAACATACCTAAATAAACAAAAAAACAGGTTTGTTTTTACTTTTTCTTCTTTAAATGTACATGAATCTTGAAAATGACCCAGGTATTATGAAAACATAATATGTTTTCATAATACCTGGGTCATTTTCAAGATTTATGTACATTTAAAGAAGAAAAAGTAAAAACAAACCTGTTTTTTGTTTATTTAGGTATGTTATTTAACATCTAAAAGTGGGCCGTTGGATTTTTTTAATATTTTTAAATATTATTTAACTAGCCCTTACCTGTAGTAATTCTTCTATCCAAGAACGCCATCACCACCCGCTTATCCTGCTTCAGCAGCTTATTCGTGAACTCCGTCAAGATCTCCAAGAAGGGCAAATTGGTCGGCGGACCTGTAGGATCCTCCGTGTTATCCCCGTTGATAACCGCAAAGAAAATACCCGCCCTGTGCAGCGCAGTAATAGCCTCGCGATTTTTCACAGCGTCCAACCCGAAGGAAAGGGCGAACCTCTTGGCCAACTCTTTCAGCGCGAAAAACTCCTCGTGCTGGCGAGTGTTGCGACCGTTCGCCAAACGCTGCACCTCGTTGAACATCATGTTAAGCGACAGGCACATTGTTAATGCGCAGTTGACTTTGTTAATCTCCCTTGCTTTACTCAATGTGGCTTTAATAATATCCCCGTACTCGTTGTAGTACTTAACGTAGTGTTTGAACACGTCCGCGCCCGCTTTGGTAGGCATTATATTGTACACGATCAATTTACTATAAGCCGCCAAAAAGTTGCGTCGCTTGTGCAACTCCTCAATCCTATGCTCATCATGCTCGGCGTCTTGTTCCGGCACAAAAACATACGTCTGCACGAACTCATTCAACAACAACTGCAAGTTACGGTCCGGTGCGCAGATCAACTCGGAGACGAACTGCGCACTTCCGCCCAACTGCTCGCTAAAAACGATCAACAAATCGCACAAACCGATGTACGCCTCCTCTTTTATCGATTGATACGGGGAGGATTTTATCAGTTCCTGCGAACCATCGATAAAGTCGTTTAGTTTTTGCCGCAGTTCCGTTATTCCCGACCCGGTCAAACCGCCCCCTTCGTTCGCCGCCTCCAGGTCTCTCAGGCCCCACAGTAGGTTGTAGTAGCACGAGCTCAAACAGTATTTAAGGGCTTCTGCTGGAAGTTTGCTGTCTATATCCTGAAAAAAGTTATACTTATGGGCAGCGTTGGCATGTTTGAAACAATATGTTTTAAGCAGTTTAAAAAAGTGCTTAAAAACAAAGAATAAACATTTGCATCTACATTTACTAAAAATATTAAATTATTTGTTTGTTTGGATTATCGTAGGATTTAGGCCAATAAAAGCGTATGTTGACTCAATAGTTTTATACCGGTTTTTAAGCGAATACTGGTTTTCGGATTGATCTGAACAACCCCCGCGTCACTATGGCCCGCCATCTTAAAAAAAACTTACTTTTTGTTTTAATACTTTACGAAAAAATCTAATATTTTTATTAAATGCAGTGGTTTCAAGATGTTTGAAAAAGTTTTATTGTTTGATTTAAACTGTTTTAAACATTTTGTTTTAAAAATATAAAAATCTCTTGTTTCAATAAAGTTGATTGTTTATTAGAAAAGTTTGCCATATTGAACTACATTTATTGTACATATTATAAATAATATTTATTTACATATTATGTAAATATTTCATTTAATATTAATATGAATTTTTAGAATTATTTTTTATTATAATTTTATGTTTTAAAGCTGAAGCTGATGCTTTTATATCATATCATTTATAGCAAACATCGCTTAATACTTTACGAACCGTTCATCGCAAAGAAGCCAACTTACTTTCAAAATACTGGTAATTTTAAAAGCTATATTTTTTTTAAACTTATTTTGCTCACTGATGCGTTGTTGCATGAATATATGTTGAATAAGCTGATATAAACATATATTAGTTAAACCAAATATTATTAAATAAAACTTCTTTATCTTTACCTCGTAGATTTACTGTTTATAATATCAGCACAGTTAATGTTACGTGCTTGCATATGTTTATGTAAGAATGAAATAGGGCGTGTGTGCTCTAATAATATTTTGTATCACTTTTAGTTTTAGTCTCCTCTACGCTTGCTTTCCGAGTTGTCTTAGACTGAAGACAATTAAATATTTAAAAGTTAAATTATAATATCTTTTATTTCACTGTCCATATACCTAACAGGTTATGGGCCCAGGATACGTGTAATTTTAAATTATCGCGAAAAGGAATTTTTGAGTTAATAAACTATTGTTATTTGTGAAGTTTGTGAAGTGATAGACAAAAGTGAGAGCTTTGATAGTGACAATGGAAAATTTTAAACTAAAAAGAAACATTAAGCCTTTTAATGGGGAAAAATATAGTATATGGAAGTTTAGATTACGTGGTTTGTTAACAGAACTTAATGTCATAAAGGTGATTGATGAAGATATCCCAGAGGAAGTGACTGACGAATGGATAACAGCAGAGCGTACCGCCAAAAATATTATCGTGGAGTATTTGACAGATTCTTTTCTTAGTTTTGCAAAAAGTGACAATACTGCAAAAGACATTTTCTGTAGTTTAGACCGTATCTATGAACGTAAAAGTCTGGCTACGCAGTTGGCATTGCGAAAGAAATTATTGGGATTGAAATTACAAGCAGATACACTATTACTAAATCATTTTACTATTTTTGATGAACTAATTACCGACTTATTGGCCGCAGGTGCCAAATTAGATGAGACTGACAAGATATCTCATTTATTGCTGACCCTTCCTAAAACTTACGATGGAGTGATTACAGCTATCGAAACATTAACTGAGGATAATTTGACCCTAACTTTTGTTAAAACAAGACTTTTAGATCACGAGGTAAAACTCACCAGTGAAAATCGTGATACAAGTGCAAAAATACTTCAGGTTGATACTGCTTCTACAAGTGCATCATTCTCCAGGAAACGAAACTTTCAAGCCCCTCGTAGATTCAAAAATAATTACCAGCAACGACATTTAAAAGGGCGACACTTTAAACCCGACACCACAAATCATTTATCCTCGGCTATAAAGTGTCATCATTGTGGTAGAAATGGGCACATAAAAAAAACAATGTTTTTATTATAAAAAGAGTCTATCTAAAAATAATGAAAGAAATAGAACCATTCAAACAATTCAATTAGAAAAGCCGTCAACATCGAAGGATAATACATCTGGTTTTGCTTTTATGACTGGAGATTTTCAAAATATGGAGGAAGAAAATAATATTACTTTTATCCTGGACTCGGGAGCGTCCGATCATATTGTCAACCGAGATGATATATTCAACAGTTTTGTCGAGCTCCAAACACCAATGAAAATTTCAGTGGCAAAAAGTGGGACTTTTATATCAGCTACCAAAAAGGGCACCATCAAGGTTACAAGTAATATGGGTATCCAGGGAATTCTTGAGGATGTGTTATATTGTCCAGAGGTCCCTTACAATTTGTTGTCCGTAAGAAAAATGCAGCAGGCTGGTATGACTATTATTTTTAATGAAAAAGGTGCTACTATTTACCAAAACAGTAACCCTGTTATTAAGGGTAAGTTTTTAACCACTTTAATTGCTGCTGAATTTATTGTTAATAGGGATGTAATTAATAGTATTGTGCAAGCACATAGTAGTACAAATATAACTAAAGATTATAAATTGTGGCATGAACGTTTGGGGCATATAAGCAAATTTAAATTTTTAGAATTAAGAAATAAACTTATGGTAAAAGATTTAGGAGAAATCGATAAGGTTACACCTAATGACTATTTATGTGAAGCTTGCATAAGTGGTAAACAAGCACGACTGCCATTCCAAAAACATAAAGATAAAAGGGATATTAAACGACCCTTGTATAGAGTTCATTCTGACGTATGTGGTCCTATCACTCCTTCAACAGTTAATAATAAAAATTATTTTGTTCTTTTTGTTGATGAATATACTCACTATTGTGTTACATATTTAATAACACACAAGTCAGATGTATTTTCTGTATTTAAAGATTTTGTTGCTAAAAGTGAGGCACATTTTAACTTAAAAATTGTTAATTTATATTGTGACAATGGAGGGGAATATTTGGCTACTGAAATGAAAGATTTTTGTGTGCAAAAAGGTATAAGTTATCATTTGACAGTTCCACGAACCCCACAATTAAATGGTGTATCAGAACGAATGGTTAGGACAATTACTGAAAAAGCTCGTTCAATGATTTTTGGTGCCAAGTTAGAAAAATGTTTTTGGGGTGAGGCAGTTTTAACTGCAACATTTTTAATTAATTTAACCCCTACCAAAGCATTAAATGAATTAAAAACACCATATGAAATGTGGCATAATAAAAAGCCGCAAGTAAAATATTTAAAAGTTTTTGGTTCTACTGTTTATGTACATAATAAAACTAGAAAAACAAAATTTGACAATAAATCCTGGAAAGCTATACTAGTTGGTTTTGAACCAAATGGGTATAAAGTGTGGGATGTGAATAACAATAAGTTTGTTATAGTAAGGGATGTTATTGTAGATGAGACAAATTTTTTTATCGTCCAGGCCAGAAACTGACTCCTCTGACTGTTTGTCAAGATCAGTAGGTAATGAAACTGACTCCTCTGACTGTTTGTCAAGATCAGTAGGTAATAAAACTGACTCCTCTGACTGTTTGTCAAGATCAGTAGGTAATGAAACTGACTCCTCTGACTGTTTGTCAAGATCAGTAGGTAATGAAACTGACTCCTCTGACTGTTTGTCAAGATCAGTAGGTAAAGAAACTGACTCCTCTGACAGTTTGTCAAGATCAGTGGTTAATAATAATGAGTGTAATAAATCTGTAATTAAAACAGATAGGCCAAATAATAATATTCAGTGTGAACCCCAACTAAGACGAAGTGGTAGAATCAAGAATCTTTTGCCTATTTCTTATAAAGAAACTGATTCGACAAATGATCATTTTATATGTGCTCAATCAGTTGTTTGTCAAATTCCTTTATCATATAAGGAAATTAAAAATAGAGAAGATACATTTCAGTGGGAACAAGCTGTACAAGACGAAATAAATTCCCTCTTGTTAAACAAAACGTGTTTGATGTATATTTGGTATCAAGACCAGAAAATAAAAATATAGTGGACTGCAAATGGGTGTTTTCGATTAAAAATGATGAATTTGGAAAACCGTTAAGATATAAAGCTCGCTTAGTAGCGCGTGGTTTTAGTCAAGAATACTTGGTAGATTATGATGAAACATTTGCCCCAGTAGCAAGAATTACATCTTTTAGGTTTATAATTGCCTTTTTCAAATCAATTTAATCTTTTAGTACATCATATGGATGTTAAAACAGCCTTTCTAAATGGGACATTAAAGGAGGAAATTTATATGAAGGTCCCTGAAGGGGTCACAAGTAAACCAAACCAAGTTTGTAAATTGCATAAAGCTTTGTATGGGCTAAAACAAGCTGCCAGATGCTGGTTTGAAATATTTGAAAAAGTTCTTATAGACAAAGGTTTTCAGAATTCATCAGTTGACCGCTGTATTTATATTTTAGACAGAGGTGCCATATGTAAAAATATTTATGTTGTTCTTTATGTAGACGATCTTGTGATTGCCACTGCAAATAGTGATACAATGAGTAGTTTTAAAAGTTATTTGGCAAATAAATTTTGTATGGTTGATTTAAAAGATATTAAACTGTTTTTAGGTATTAAAATTACAAGAATAAATGATAAAATTTCTTTAGATCAATCGTCATACATAAATACTGTTTTAAATAAATTTAATATGTTTGACTGTAATGCTGTCAGCACTCCCCTTCCCAGTAAACTAAATTTTAATGAGTTAAATTCTGAAGTAAAATATGATTGCCCTTGCCGAAATCTTATCGGCTGTTTGATGTATATTATGTTGTGTACCAGGCCAGATTTAAGTGCTGCTGTTAATATTTTAAGCAGGTACCAAAACAATAATAATAAAGAGCTTTGGCAATGCTTAAAAAGGGTCCTTAGATATCTTAAGGGTACAATTAATTTAAGGTTAACATATGTTAAATGTGATTATAGCAATGTCTTAAGTGGTTATGTAGATTCTGACTGGGGAGGTGATGATGTAAAAAATAGGAAAAGCACAACTGGTTACCTATTTAAATTATTTGAAAAATGTGTAATA